ACACAGCAGGCCAAGCAGCATCATAGGAGCAGAGAGGCTGACGTTTCGGGCCTAGACCCTTCATCAGAAAAGCTTTTCTATGATGCTGCTTGGCCTGCTGTGTTCATCCAGCCCTGCACCATGTAGCATATGCATGACAGGATTCGATGAAAAACTGAAAAATAAATGGTCCAAGATGGAAGAGTTGCTTGAAACCAGGGTTCAGCCTTTATTTAAGGAGTAGAATTAAGTTGTAGTTTCATCTAAGGCTGGCAATGAGAGAGATTTTCTTTAGGAGAATTTGTGTTTTTATGCAGACACAAATAATGTCTTGTTTGGTGCTAAATAATGGCATGTGCTGCTTTCTTATTAGAAGCTTTTCTTATTTTTATTTTCAAGGAAGAAACGAAATTCTGGCCAGCCTTTGTCCACAGGTATTCGGAATGTACGTGGTTAAACTAGCTGTTGCCATGGTGTTGGCAGGTGGAGTGCAAAGAACTGATGGAGCAGGCACAAAGGTTAGAGGTTGGTATTAGAGCAGTAGATGTGAAATATTAATTAATTATTTAATTAATTTAGTTCCTTTTAATTAGTCTGCAGTACTAATTTTTCTCACACACCTTGACTATTTTTTAAAAAATAATTTCAGTTGATTTTCTTTTCTTTTTAATCGGAAAAGTTTCAAGGTAGCATTTCCACAAAATCAGAAGTAAATTCTGACCGAGGAATGTCTTTCGATCTGTTCAGAACATCACAATCTCCCTGTCTCGTTGTTTCTTGAATAATACATGGATTTTCCTTCTGCGCATTGATCACATAGTTAAAAATCATTTCCTAATTTAAGGCCACGATTCTCCTTTTATTTTAAAATGTGGGGGCAAACATGTTAGGTGGTGACTGACAAGTCATCCCCACCACTAAGAATACGCAATCCATCACATTTCAGTCTGCTCAGTAAGAGCTGACAGGAAACCCAGAGATGAATTTCTTGGTCTATTGTAGGTCTCAATACTAGGGTCTAAGTTTGCCAGAGGCTGTCAGCCAATTGGAGGCCAACAAAATCCGTGTCCAAAAGAAATAAAGGCCAACTCCTTATGGGTTGTGAGAAGGCAAGTCATTTTAAACTCTTCACGGGGTTGGAGTTATAGGGGAGGGGATTTCATGGGGTTCTGAGGTAAGGCAGTTGGTTGGTTTTCGGATATTACCCCTCTACTGCTCAACCCATTCATGCCTGCACTTGCTCTTGATTGGAACAATTGAGGATGCCCAATTCTGGCAGGCAAGTCATTCCTTGTTTTCCAGTTGGGAAATTAACACCTTTTGTTTCTAAACTGAAACAGAAATTGCTGGAAAATCTCAGCAGGTCTGGTAGCATCTGTGGAGAGAAATCAGAATGAACATTTCAGGTCCAGTTACCCTTCTTCAGAACTATTTATTTCTCCTGGGAAAGCAGGTAGTTGGGAGGTGGTACGTTGAGGCCCATAAGTGGACATTAATTGACCATTTGGGCCTTAATTGGTGATGGCTCATGAAGGTCACCCATGAACCTTCTCACCCAGAACTTAGTGATGTGTCGAGAAGTGGGAGAGTATGTACTAAGGACAGCATGGCCCATTTCTTCCTCTTTTTGTCACCTCTGTTGCACCTCCAGCAAGAGGAAATTTCTGCTCTTAGTCGTAATGTTGCCTGTCGCCATTTGGAATTTCAGTGACATTGTCACTGCTGTTGCAGCTTGATTTAGAGTAATATTCTGGATTTACTTTGCTTGGCATCATAAGAGGTTACGATACATTTGTGAGATCACTACTTGGTCTCTCTCTTTCTGGGATAAAAAAAACTCTCTCCTTTGTCCCATATATAATTCTACTTTGATCAAATGATACCAAATCCAAACGTGTTTCTTTTCAAGTGAAGTACCAAACGAACAAACACCGCCTCTTTAAAAAAAAATCAATGTCATTAGCATGATCATCTTCTACTGGATATGAGTGAAATTCAGTTATTTCATCAAGCTTTGTCGCTTCATATGATCCTTCCATAATAAGTTGCATTGCACCATTCAGTTGAAAGGCTGTACCTCTGGCAGTCACTCATCCATCCCACCCCCAAGCATTATACCATATAGTAGCAGCCCACCTGCAGCTGAATGAATTAGTTGATAATTGGCCATAGCAATTGACTGACCAGGTTAGCCAGGTTTCACAAAACCAACATGGAATAAACAAAATCCTCTAAATTGGAATTAACATTTTTGTTAAAAGGTAATGAAACTGGTCCACGCAGTCAATTATGAAGAAACCCTCAGTTTTTATCAAATAAGTGGAGCTACCGGTCAATCTTAAAATTCAGGCCAATAATAATGAAAAAATTTTTGACTTTTTTTTTGCAAAAGCAAATCAGTTACCTAGTGCAATCTGCAATAGCTGTCCAGCTTGGGAAGTTAAATCATTCAGTCAAGAGAAATGTAATATTCTGAACTACCTACAGTGGTACAAAATATGTTATTACAAATTCTTGTGACTTTCATTCTTGTATTTCCCCTTAAAGATTGATTGTGAATATGTGGTAAGTCAGGCATTTCAGAAAGGAGTGCTGTGTGCTCACACTGCTCCTTGGAAAATCACAGACATGTTAACACCTGATTCCTCAAGATGTGTTCCCACTGTTGTTCACTTCGGAACATTTTGATTACAACCTCACCTCAGGAATACTGTGCTTTACTAGACTGTTTTGCCTGCCAATGAGTGATGCATGTTCATTTTACTGGGACAGTTTGATTGAGTCTAATTAATTAATAAAGGAGTATGCATTTATTAATATGCATTCTTTGTTTTGAAGGAGAACCCCATCTTTTACTGGTAGGAGATCCTGGGACAGGGAAATCTCAATTTCTTAAATATGCGGCAAAAATTGTGCCCCGTTCAGTGCTGACTGCAGGAATTGGATCTACTAGTGCAGGCAAGTAAAATATTTAAATGCTTGCAATATTTAAATATTGCACAATAAAATCCTGTAACACAATGTATTTTCAATTTAAGATGAAATTCGGAATATCCAATAGTCTTGATTATCTTCACAGTATTTGAAATCTTCTTTTAGGTAATTGTATTTTGGCCTGACAATTGTGATTTACTATGTAGTATAGAGAAAATGAGGCTTTTAATCATACAAAGGTTATGAACTAATGTACTTGTATAATAGCATATTTTTGTAAAGGAGGCACCGGGATTGGTGGAGAAAAGTACATATGTAGAGAATTACGCAAACAAAAACCTTTTTATGTCAGTGGTCAGTGTCACGATGATGATTTTATAAAAATAATGAACTGTTGATTTTTCAAATTCCATCAACTGATTTCAATATCTGGAACTTTTGTAGACTAAAATGGTTTTGAAAATGAAACATCACTAACTCAAAACGGCCATGGCAAATGACTGACCACACAGGTTAACCAAGCTTCACAAAATCAACAAAGTCATTTGAATTGAAATTAACTTTTTTGCCAAGATAGTGAAACTAGTCCACCCAGTCAGGTATGAAGAAACCTTCTGTTTCTATCTAATAAGTGGAGCTGTAGGTCACAAATCTTAAAATTCAATCCAATAATCATGAACAAAATGATGGCTTCTTTCTTTTGCAAAAGCCCTGTTTCTTAGTGCAATCTGTAATTGGTGTCCAGCTTGGGAAGTCAGATCATTAAGTCAAATGAAATGAGACTGGTGAGAATTAACAGCTCAGTCATCACTTAGAAGTAGAATTCTGTCCAAAAGCCAGGAAAACAGAAATTACAAAGCAGTTGGCAAAATTTCAAGAGGTGAAAATTGAAGACATGGCAACAGATAAATTAAAACTAGATTGGAAGTAATTCAAAGAAATGGGAAGGAAAAAAAGCGAGACAAGAATAATAAAATGAAAGAGGCATGAACAAGAATGGAGATAAGAAGTAGAATTTCATGAATTAGAATTGGAGTTGAAATTGAAATAGCTTGAGTCAAGGGGGGTTTAGAATCTAAGAATCCCTACAGTGTGGAAACAGGCCATTTGGCCCAACAAGTTCACACTAACTCTCCAAAGATCATCCCACCAAGACTCACACCCCTATTCTATCTCTGTAACCCTGCATTTCCCATGGCTAATCCATCTAACTTATACATCACTGGACACTATGGGCAATTTACCATGGCCAGTCCACCCTGACCTGCACATCTTTGGGCTGTGGGTGGAAACCGAAGCACCCAGAGGAAACCCATGCAGACACGGGGAGAATATGCAAACTCCACATGGACAGTCACCGGAGGGTGGAATTGAACCCGAGTCCCTGGTGCTGTGAGGCAGCAGTGCTAACCACTGAGCCACCTTACCGCCTCAAAAGGTCTACCCAAAGTGCCCAGTGAAGGTGTCATTTGTGAGCAAACCACCCCTAACAAGGTCTGAAGTATATAAGCTTGGTCATTTAATCATTATCTTTGATAAACAGGAGGTAGATGCCTTCTTTATCGCATCTAAATAGTTAGTACAGTAGTTAAAGTGCCCCATCTAACAATGTACACTGCTGTTGCAGAGCAATCTGACTGGAAAAGTTCACAAAGTTTACTCCATCTTGTCTCGGGAGAATGCAGACACCTATGTAGCAGCAAAAGGGGCTATTTAAACTGTGTGCCAATTGATGCCACAGTTATTCTTGCAAAAATTCCATACCCACAGGAAATGGCCTGACCAAACATACCTTGAATTTGAAAGACCTAAGCAGCTCATTTTTGAGCAGTGGCTACAGGCATTTAAGATTGATGCCATCTACGAAAACTTTTTGTGAGGTAATTTTCCTTGTGTACCAAGATTCCATACCCTTTCCAATCTGAACTCATATTAGTCAAGGATGCAGTCAGGTAACTCTGCCTGAGTGAGATACAGTCTAAATATAGTGGGGAATTTGGTTCATGTGAGAATTGGTGCATTGGGGAAGGGGGTGCTTTAACTAAGGTTTATTGCAACTGGTAAAGTCTGTTAGTTAATAGTTAGGTTTATCAGTACCAGTAAGGTTCTCCTGATAGCAATACATCACTGGACACTATGGGCAATTTACCGTGGCTGTCTACCCTTATCCTTACAACTAAGTTCTTATTTTGCGTGAGCAGGACCAAGGCTAATTAATAAAATGAGGGAATGGCAGAGTTGAAGCAACCTTGAAAAAGCACAGAAAGAGAAGGAATGGATAACCACCAGGTAGTCAAAAAGGAACAGGCTGGTAGTTCCTACAGTGCATCCCATTATCCAAACAGTATTCCGTTCTAAATATTGTTGAGAGTGATGGTTTGTCTGGAAAGCGCAGCCAGAGCCAAGTCCTTAACATTGTGACTCTGGTGCTGTGCGAGGGGTTACAAGATAGACTGGAAGAGCTGTAGTGATAAGTGAATTGATAGTTAGAGGAACAGATAGAGTTTCTGTGACAGCAGACATGAATCCAAGGTGATGGATTGCCTCTCTGATGCCAGGGTCAAGGGCCACTGAGCAGTTGCATCATACCCTCAGTAGACAAGTGAGCAATCTGCAACCAATAGTGTAGGTTATTGGATCTACGAACAAGGATCTAGTCCTCCAGTCAGAATTTGGGGAGATAGGTAGAAAATTAGCAAGCAGGATCTCAAAAATAATAATCTTTGGATTATTCTTAGTACCACTTGCAAGTGAGTATAGAAATAGGAGAAAAACACAAATGAACTATAAAGTTGGGGCAGGAGGGAAGGCTTTAGAATCATGGAGTATTGAGATAGGCTTTCAGGAACATGAGACCTGTACAGACCAAATGATTGCTCCTGGACAAAGCGGGGACTGATTTCCTCGTTGGTAGTTTTGCTGGTGTTATTGAGGGAGGTTTAGGCTAACACAGCAGGGGTATGGGAATAATGAGGTAATGTCACATGGGAATTCAAGGTGCACAAAACACTGGGAAAGTTAGACAGCACTAGAATAGAAAATAGAAAGTTAATAAATCGGGTCAGAATAAGGGGAAAGCAATTAAGTCTAAATCAGGAGTTATTTAGAAGATTTAAAATTGACAAACATGTGGTATTGGATAAACTGCCTGTACTTAAAATTGACGGGGCACTGGGAAATAATGAGATGCTTCCAAGGATGGTGAGAATGGAAATTAGCGGCACTGATGATTACCTTTCAGACTTCTTTAGACTTGGTGGTGCCAGAGTGCTGGAAAATTGCCAAAGTAAAGACTTTGCTAAATAATAGTTTAGGACATAAGCCAGTCGATTTAACTTTGTTTATAGCAATTTCTGAAACATCAATGATTCATACAAAATAAATCATCATATGGGCAAATGCAGTTAATTAAGGAGAGTCAACACGAATTTCATCTGGAAAACAATATATTTAACTTCCATAGAATTATCATGGAATCCCTACAGTGCAGACAGAGGGTATTCAGCCCATTAAGTTTACTCTGACCCTCCAAAGAGCATTCCACCCAGATCCACCCTATTCCTGTAATCACATATTTACCATGGCTCATCCACCTAGCCTGCATGTGCACCTAGCCTACACATCCATAGACACTACAGGGAAATATAGCATGGCCAATGCACCTAACCTGCACATCTTTGGACTGGGGGAGGAAACCAGAGCACCCAGTGGAAACCCACGCAGATACAGGGGGAATGTGCGAGCTTCACACAGACAGTCACCCAACTGACTGATGGTTTTCTGATGAGGTTGATGTGTGTCAATGAACCTCCAGAAGGCTTTTGAAACAAAGATGCGCACCACTCATGTGTGCAAAGTTAAAACTCATGGAATAAAAGGGACAATTGACAACGTAGACACAAAATTTCTGAGTGACAGAAAGCAGAGAAATGGAAAATGGATGCTCCTCTGGCTGGGAGAAGATTTGTAATGGAGTTCCACGGGGTCAGTGTTGGGACAATTGTTTTTCCTGATTTATAATAATTAGCTAGATCTTAGTCTGGGTGCAATTTGCAAATGATACAAATCTTGGAATCCTTGTAAACGGTGAGTAGGATAGTGTAGAACTTTGGAAAGGCATAGACAAGTTGGTGGAATAGGTAGCTGGTGGCAGTCTGTGTGGCTTTCCTCCCATAGTCCAAAGATGTGCAGGTTAAGTGGATTCACCATGCTAAATTGTCCATAGTGTCAAGGGATGTACAGGCTAGGTGGTTTAGCCATGAGACATGCAGGGTAGGGGGGTGGGTTTGGATCTGATGTTCTTCAGAGGGTTGGTATGGACTTGATAGGCCAAATGGCATGCTTCCACACTGTAGAGATTCTATGATTCTACAATATCCATAATTTATTAGTTGAGATAATGTCTTTTATTGGCCAGCAGCAAAATGTACCCCTCAAAAAGACATGGTCTGTCCAGAGAGATGGGCAAGGCTAGAGAAAGCCATCAGGAAGGGGAGGAGAGGTTCAGAAGTGTAACAGGGACAGCAAAATGTTCAGTGAGTTAAGAAAGATCATTTGAATTGAACAGTGCTGAAGTCTAGCTAGCAGTGTCAGAAAAGGTCAGGAAAGAGCCTGAATGAATTAAAAGGATAGGAAGTGACAAAAGACAACAGGACAAAGATAGACATCTGGTTAACAGATGCCTTCATGGTAATTTTGAAGAGCAGCAAGGAGTTCTCATACTGGCTAGGAGATAGGGACGGAGAAGCTTCATTTAGTGGAAGTGGCACAGTGGAGAATAGCAGAAGCTGAACAGCCATCTGAGGGCAGTAGCGCGCCATAGAATATGGAGATTACAAGAAAAACCATTTCCAAAGCCAAGGAAAATGAAAAGGAAACATACCCTATAGCAGATATCGCTGGTGGAGACCAATAGGGGTACAGGGAAAACAGAATTACCCATTGGTAGATCAAAGGAATAGAACCAAGTTTCAAACCTCAACCAATCCATTTGAGTTGATGTAATGTTTAGTGACAGTGAAGTGCAGTCCAGACATCCAAGGAGACTAATATCAGATTACCGAAACTAAAATAACCTCCTAAAGGAAAGTGCTCGAATCTGGTACGTGGATTATAGCAGTGAAAGGGGAAAACTCAGACAGATAGCACAGCTCTAGGAATACATCTGGCTGCCTCTCCCAATGCATGTTTTAATCCATGTTAGGACATAGACAGTACGTTATTGATTGTCAAAATAAATTAATGCTGTCCTTTATCAATTTATTAGTGAAAGAAGCATGGAAGCTCTGCAATAGTGTCTCTAAAAGCATATTGATTCATTAACAAAAGTGTAAAGGAATATGATAAGATCGGTACAGTATGGCAAACAAAGATAATTTCAGTTTTGAAATGCCAAGTTCTGTTACGAAGCTGATAGAGGTAAATTTTTCTCTTTAGAGAAAAAAACTGATCAGGAACATGATTGATATCTTTTATAAACTTATATGATCTTCATATTAAGGTATCTCAAATTCCTATTTTAACAAAAAACATTATGACTGTTTTTTCTCTCATTAGTGACCAACTAATTACGCACATTACCTTTACACCACCTTTCAAACTATCAGCTGCCAACCACTTCCTGCCTCCAGTTATGTTCATTACTTACAAGCTTGCAAAATCAAAGGTTGTTCGGCTTGTTGGGAAGAACAAACCCAACTTGATTTTCTGAAGTTCCTTAAGTAACCTGCTTACACTATTATGTCATTAGCTTTTTTTTAATCTCCATTACTTTGCCTGATCTGCAAGGTAAATTCATTGCTCTCTAAAGCTGATAATTTGTGAAAAATTTTAGGGAAAAGAGTGCCACTGAATTATCAGCAAGGAAGGCTACATAGGACATGAGACCATCCAGTATTAACTTAAAATACTAAAGCAATACATGAAAAAAAAATTACTCAACCAAATCATAGATTACGCAGAGTTAATTTCTTTCATATTGCAGTTTTGGTTATATAGCATTTGATTTGAAGAAATTACTTACAGAACTGCCTTTTTATGGACCATCTGTATCCAATTTATGTGCTAGTGAATTGCATAGGTTGGGTGTCTCTTCTTTTAATTTTTGGCTTTTTGAACCCATTACAGTATTTTTCATTTGGTATGATCAGAACTTCAGAGACATGTAAGATGGTATTATTATTGCTGAAATGACAGTGCATGTTTGTCGATAACCGCTTATTGCAAGTTGTTTCGTTCTAATCGTTTCAGTACTATAAGAAAAATCGCGGAGAAGTCTATTTGCCGATTTTTGTAAGATTTCCAGCAATTGTCATGAGGAACCTGTTGTTATTCCAGGATGAAAACTAATAACATCAATTCCTTTTTGTTCAGTTACTTTTACTGAAGCATTTATTTATCTGCATAGCACAACATTTGTTCACTGACATGTTTCTATTATGAGCATTTACCTTTCCTTTGATGGTTTGTTTTAAAAGATTGTATCACTGACCAATGTTAGTGTTATACCTGGAATATTACATGTAGACTATGGCAGAAAACAGAATATTGAGGTGTATTCCATATAATTCAAAGAAATAATTGGTTGCAGAGTTAGTTAACTTTTAATTAGCTGTGAACCCTTGATGTCCCAGCCTTAGCATTATTATTCAGAGTACCGAAATAAATTCACCAAGGAAAACTACTCCAATCTGAACATTAAAAATCTATAGCCTTCCCATCCTGGGAACATTTCCCATTATAAATTTGTGTTACTGGATCAAAAAGTCCAAGTCATGCTGTGGGATATCACATGGACTGCAATCGTGTAACAAGAAAGTTCATTCCACCTTCTAAGGAGCGACAGGCCTGAGCAATAAAACTAGACTTCAGTAGTACTGTCCATACCTGGAGAATTAATACTCTTTAGAAAAGTGATTGGAAATGTACTACAGTTAATTTTCGTGAGTCATGAGATTAGAATGTGTATTTTTTTTTTGCACCTGGTGTTTCCTGCAGGTTTGACTGTGACTGCAGTAAAGGACTCTGGAGAGTGGAACCTGGAAGCAGGAGCACTGGTTCTAGCAGATGGAGGTCTGTGCTGTATTGATGAATTTAATAGTATTAAAGAACATGATAAAAGCAGCATTCATGAGGCAATGGAGCAGCAAACTATAAGTGTGGCAAAGGCAGGGTAAGATGCTCATTTTCATCTTTCAAATTTGTAAACTATGATCAAAGATGTTTTAAGAATTTGGATCCCAATGTCTGTCTGGCAACACAAAAGTGACCAATGAATTTAAGTATAACAATTTGTATGCTGTTTTAGACAATAAGTTATAAGACTTATCCCAAAGGCAATTGATCAATATTTGATCCAAATATTCTCTATAATCATGGATTAAAATATGAAATGTTATGCAGAATTGTTGGAAGGTTGTCATAATTGTATTCAACATTATTGATGATTTAATCAACTTATAGAGTGAAGTACTATTAAAATAACCTTGCCCAAACTATGTATTAGCATTTGCTTCCATGTGGTCAATTTACTGCAAAAGTTGTTTTAATATTACTACAGTTTCTTCACTGGCATGGTGACCACTCAGTACACTTTCTGTGCAAGGCTGCAAGAGTGCACTTCTGATTTACTGCTATTGTGCATCTGGAAGAGATATATACAGTGAAGCACCAGCAATTCGGAGATTGAGGATATAAATTCTGCAGTGTCAAAGTTTGAAATTTGATTCAATCAATCTCATACAATGAGAATGAGCTGCCAAATTTGTTGCATAAATCTAACCAATTTGCTAATGTCTTCCAGGGAACTTGCATGTGACTCCAGTTCCATGATTACGTAGTTCACTCTCAAGTACTACATAAGGTGTTGGCCATTCAACCCATCAATTCTGTTCCACTATACAATGAGATTGTGACTGATCTGATAATCCTCAATTCCACTTTGCTGCCTCTTCCCCATAACCCTTGATTCCCTTACTGATTAAAAATCTGAATATTTCAGCTTTGAATACACTTAATGACACAGCCTCAACAGCCCGCTTTACCAAAGAATTCCACAGATTTACTGCACTTTGAGAGAGAAAAAAAAAATCCTCCTCGTCTCTGTCATAACTATGCCATCCCTTATTCTGAGATTATGCCCTCTGGTCATGTACTCTCCTAAAGGGAAACAAACTTTCTGTATCAACCATATCAAGTGCCCCCAAGGAATTTTGTATATTTTGATAAGGCCACTGCTCATTTTTCTAAATTCCAATAAGTACAGGCCCAACCTGCTCAATCTCTCCTTATAACACACAGTTCCTCCATACCTGGTACCAGTCTGGTGAATCTTCTCTGGACTGTCTCTGATGCCAGTTTATCTTTCCTTAGATAAGGCACACAAAACTGTTGGCAGCATTCCAGGTGTGAACTGATTGGTGCCTTGTGTAGTTTTAGCAAAGTGTCCCTACTTTTATACTCTATTCCTTTTGAAAGAAAGACCAACATTCAATTTGCCTTCCCTATTACCCACTGAACTTGAATGCTAGCTTTTTTCTGATACATAGTGGGATATAGGTCAAACGCAGAGAAATGGGATTTGTTCACTTTGGGAAACCTAGTCTGCGTGGATGAGTTGGACCAAAAGGTCTGTTACTTTATGTCTGTTTGAATGAGGCCTCTCAAATCCCTCTATTCTGTATCTCTCTGAGATCTTTCTCCATTTAAACAATATTCAGCTCCTCTATTCTTCCTGCTGTAGTGCATAACCTCACATTTTCCCACAGTACACTTCATCTGCCAAGTTTTTGCCAACTTGCTTAATTTGTCTGTATCCCTCCACAGGCTTTGTGTATTCTTCAGTATATGCCTTCCCACTGATTTTTGTGTGATCTGCAAACTTGATAGAGTGCATTCACTTTCCTCATCCAAGACATGAATATACATTATAAATAACTATGGGCCCAGCACTGATCCCTGTACCACACCACTAGTTACAAGTTGGCATCCTTAAAATGCTTCCCTTATCTCAACTCTGTCTTCTACTAGTTAGCCAATCCTTTATCCATGCTAATATACTACCTCTATTACCATAGGGGTCTTAATTTCTTCAGTAGCATTCTGAAAATCCAAATATATCATATTACTGTTTCCCCTTTATCTATACTGCTTGTCACTTCCTTTTCATGAAGCCATGCTGACTCTGCTTAATCATAGTATATATTTCTAAATCTGAGAGCAAGTGGCCATGAACAATAAATGCAGCCTTGCCTATATCTGAGGACAAGTCTAAATCAAGCCTTTTCCCTTCTACTTGTCTGAAGTGCGCTCCATTTCCCAGTAGGATGACTGATGACTTTAAAAACTCAGAATAAAGGAAGCACTCCATCTATAATTTGATTAGTTAGTGGGATAAGCCTCTATTACATGTGCAGGAGGTGAAACTCTGCTACAATCTCCTTCCTCCTTTCCACCGTTAGTAGCAGTGTGTTTGATCTCAACACCCTGCAGGTCTCTCACTAATGTAAACCTTTCCTCCTACTTTGTTTCTCCTTGCATTCAAAAATATTCTTTAGAACCTAGCTCTTTGATTCTAACTTAGGAGAATGTCTGATTCAACTGTCTACTTCAATCCAGGTTTGCCCCTTAAATTTATGTGGGTCTCTACATCTTGCTGTAATTTTAGCAGATATGTTTTAGAATAGACTGGTTAAATATTATTTCTATTGTTACCAGAATATGATATATCTTGGATGTTAAATGTCTTCCTTCCTGATCCTGGCCTGTAATGAGTATTGAGACATTATGGGCCACATCTTCACTTTTTAGGTGGGAACAAGGAATAGGGATATTGCTTGATGTTGTGTTCCAGTGTTCTACCAGGTAGTTCTGGTCAGTGCTGTTTGCAAAATTGCTGAAGTTCATATTTATACACTTTCACAATGGTGCTGACCATGTTGGTACAGCAATGTGCATGCTGTCCCACATGATGAAAATTTCTAGCACTGGCAATGAGGGCAGAAATCTCTGATTCCAGTCCCACCCACCATTTGTGAAGCCAGCCCAACACTATTAGGATTTAGTCATAGTCGTAGAGTCATACGGCATGGAAACAAACCCTTCAGTCCAACTAGTCCACACTGACCATGTTCCCAAAGTAAACTAGTCCCACCTACCTGCGTTTGGCCCATATCAAACCAAACCTTTCCTATTCATGAACTTATCCAAATGTTTTTTTTTAAATGCTCTAACTGTACCTGCATTTACCAACTTCTCTGGCAGTTCATTCCACAAACAAATCACTCACTGTAAAAAGAAAAGTTGCCCTTGTGTCCTTTTTAAATCTTTCTCCTCTCACCTTAAAAATATATCCCCGAGTTTTGAACTCCTCTCTTTAAGGAAAAGACCTTTGCTATTCACCGTATTTATGCTGCTCATGATTTTATAAACCTCTCTAAGGTTGTTATCACCCCTCACCTCCTACCCTCCAGTGAAATAAGTTCCAACCTATCCAGCCTATTTTTATAACTCAAACCCTCCGGCAACATCCTGGTAAATCTTTTCTGAACCCTCTCAAGTTTAATAATTTCCAGGTTGGGAAAATCCAGTCCATTACTTCCATATGTGAAGCTCTATATAAATAAAGGATTGTTGCTATATTTTTAACTTTAAAGAAATGAACTGGGTATGTAAATAAAAATTCTACTAGAACTGTACTGAAATGTGTGAATGGAATATTTTCCACATGTAAAATTAACACAGCAGATTGATACTAATCTTACTTTCTCCATATTTAGCCTAGTATGCAAGTTGAACACAAGAACAACTGTCCTTGCAGCTACAAATCCAAAAGGCCAGTACGATCCTGATGAATCTATCACTGTAAATACAGCAATTGCCAGTCCACTTCTGAGCAGATTTGATCTAGTATTGGTACTCCTGGATACCAAAAATGAAGAATGGGACAAAGTCATAGCTTCTTTCATTCTGGAAAATAAAGGTCTGCTTTTTTTAAGAAAAGCAGTTAATCTTCTTTTCTCAATTTTGCTTAGTATGCTTTTAGTAACATTTTCATAGTTTAAACAAACATGTGAAGTTTGCATTGAATTATGTCTTACAGCAATATGTCTTATTTTTATTAAATGATTTAGCTTGCCCAACAATCTCTGACAAATTGTGGAGTATGGAGAAAATGAAAACTTATTTTTGTCTCATCAAAACTTTACAACCTAAGATTTCTGGTGAAGCAAATAAAATCCTTGTGAAATATTACCAAGTACAGCGTCAAAGCGGGTTTAGAAATGCAGCGAGGACTACAATACGCATGCTTGAGAGCTTGGTCCGTTTAGCTGAAGGTAAGATTCTTTGGATTTTTGGTCACCAATTTCATTTTTTTAAGTATGCAAATAGCCTTTTCTGAATAATGTTACCCACATCTCTGCCAAGAGCATAACTCTTTTGGATTCCAATTGCATATTCATATAAATACAGCCGTATAACTGACAGGTCCTCTCTCCACTGTTACTGCCAGACTTGCTGAATTTCTCCAGCATATTGTGATTAGAGTTGTAGAGGTTTACAGCATGGAAACAGGCCCTTTGGCCCAAATTGCCCATGCCACCCAGTTTTCACAATTAAACTAGTTCCATTTGCCTGCGTGTCGTCCATATCCCTCCATACCTGTCCTATCCATGTACCTGTCTAAATGCTTCTGAAATGATGAAATTGTACTCGCTTCCACCACTACCTCTGGCAACCTGATCCAGACGCTCAGCACTCTCTGTGTGAAAAACGTCCCCTCTGGACTCTTTTGTATCTCTCCCCTCTCACCTTAAACCTATGCCCTCTAGTTTTAGACTCCCCTACCATGGGGAAAAGCCGTTGGCTTTCTACCTTTATCTGTGCCTCTCATGATTTTTTGGAATCTCTATAATTCAATCCTCGGTCCCCTACACTGCAGGGACAAAAGGCCCCAGCCTATCTAACCTCTCCTTATAACTCAAACCTTCCAGTCCAGGTAGCATCCTAGTAAAACTTTTCTGCGCTCTTTCTAGTTTAATAATATCCATTCTATTTCAGATTTTCAGCATTTGCAGTATTTTATTTTAATTTCAGTAGTTAGCTCTACCTTGAAATGCTTGTGAGATACAGTTTGCTGCTCTGCATGTGTCTGGCAATGACTTGTTCTAACTGCTGGGAAGATTATTAGCATCACAGTATTTGTGAAACCTGCTGATTGCTTTGTTTCACTGTCAAACCATTGGATATAAAACATATTTGGAAACATTGGTGTTGTGACAACATTTCATGCAGAAGCCTTTTTTCTACCAACATTAAATTTAGCTGTCGTTTCATTTTATAAAATACCATTTGTTTTGGGCGGAGTCATCAGGGCTGGCAGCATCTGTGGAGAGAGAAACAGAGTTATCATATGACTCTTCTTTAGAATTGGAGAAGGAGTGGTTCTGAAGAAAAGCCATACAAGACTCAGAACGTTGATTTTGTTTCTCTTTCCACAGATACTGCCAGACCTGCTGAGTTTCTCCAGCATTCCCTGAGTTTGTTTCAGATTTCCAGCATCTGCAGTATTTTGCTTTTATTTGTTTTGGATCATTTGTTTGTTAAAATGTGCAGTAGGTTTGCAGTGAAGATGTAATTATTGAAAAAAAGGCTTTAGCCCCTTGAACATTGTTTCTCATAATATCTTGCTTTACCACAGTGTAGTGGGTAAGATCACAGCTCTATATACTGGACTATCAAAATCCCATTAGCAACTATTCCTTCCATCATGTTCTGTGTGGTGCTGTTACGTGATACCACTGTTACCCACATCTCTGCCAAGAGCATAACTCTTTTGGATTCCAATTGCATGCACAATGTATTAATTATAAAAATCACAAACTTTCCATGTTATTCAATGCTGCAAAGCACTGAAACCAGTTTTGCAAATGTTAGCCATGCCTGCATCAGCAGCTCAAACAGCAGGCCACATCCAGTTTTGCAAGCAGAGCTTCTCATTAAGTTGAGTGGGCTGATGGCATATGGGATAACTGAGAGAGTTTGACCTTTAACACGTGGCTGTGGAGCACAAAATTGACTGAGTTAATAGCTTATAATGTGCTGCAACTTCCTGTTAAAGGGAAAGCTTTGGTTACGACAAACTGACCATTCATTTAGGCTGTTTCACTGGTGAACATGATAACTGTGGTGTCAGCATGTTAATGGTGGCCCTTTGAGTCGAAGTCTTTACCAGCTCCAGGACTTGAGCATGTTGTTTAGGCTGATGCTTGAGAGCAACATTGAAGTGCCCTGTATGTTAACTTTTTTCTTATTTGTTGATGGGTTGAGGGCATTACTGGCTAGGCCAGCATTTATAATCCATCCCCCTCTCACAGAGAGCAGTTAAGAGACAAATTGCCTGACTAGATAATGACAGCAGATTTCCTTCCCTAAAGGGCCTTAGTGAACCACATGCATTTCTACGACAATCGACCGTGGTCACATGGTCACCATTATTCCAGATTTTTATTAAATTCAAGTTTTACCATCTGTTGCAATGGGATTCAAACCCATGTCCCCAGAACATTAGCCAGGGGTTGTAGATTACTAGCCATGAGATTACCACTGCCTCCTATAGTGTGACGACTTAAAGGAACAGTATGATGACATGAGTAGAATTGTCCAAGTGAGTGAAATTTGAGGAAATTAGGAAAACTAAAAGAGAGCGTCAACAAAGATTACCCTGCTACCTTATAAAATGTGGGAAGCTTTCTTATAGCATAAGGACGGAATTACTCATCATGCCCTTCACATTTAAAGCAATGAGATTTAAACAGTTTCTAATATGGACATTCTGCACTATCATTGGAAGTTTTACAACAAAGCCTTTAGAACTGTACTTTCAATGCCTAATTGCCCTTGAGAAAGTAATGGTGAACCTGCTTCTTAAACTACTGAAGCGCATACACTCAATTCTGTTAGGATTTCTAGAACTTAGATCCAGTTTGATTGTGTTTCTATTCAAGGTAATGGAGATTGAGGTTTGCGAGTTGCTACTGAAGAAGCAATATCATGTGGCTGAATTACATCCTCCCAATAGTAGACTGGTGATAGAGGGAATACACCACAATATTTAGAATATAATATCTTTTTATTGTCACGTGTATTCCATTGTAGGAGTACAGTGAAAGACTTTTATAATGTCTGCCACCTTGTGGCGACCTCTTGGGTGTAAGTACCTAGGTACAATTCTTGGATACAGCAGAGGAATAAAAGTAGTTGCCTTACTTACAGAGTTGAAAAATAAGTTAAAAACAGGACACTATTAATGGGTTGACATTACATTAAGGTAGGAAATTTCAAATAGACATTACAGTGTGACAGCTCAGTACAGGGCCTCCGCACATGGTCTGACCACCCGTGCCAGATCCCAGTCTAACAGCTGTCCCCGCTCTGCACCAAGCCCCAGCCCCACTCTGTACTGGCACTTAGCTGTTCCAAGACAAGGTCCAGGACTGCCTGTCCAACACCTATCTCCACCCAGGACTCACTGCCCGGACACTCCTCAGGGACTGTTTCCCCGTACTGTTCTGGGGCTCATTGCTCACGCTGTTCCATTATAGGTATTTAGTCAGTGGATTCAATGCTACTTAAGTGGACTACTTTGTCTGGCACAGTTTGGAGCTTCTTGTATGTAACTGCAACTACACCTATGTAACCAGATAAATATTCTATCACACTTCTGCCATGTGTCTTGCAACTAGTGGAGAATCTTTGAGGAGTCAGAAGGGAAGCCACTTGCCACAGAATACCAGCTTCTGACATGATGTACCAGTCATGAAATCCAAGTAGCTGATCCAGCTGAGGCTGTATCAATGGTCAAGACCCATACCATCTGGAAATTGATGGTCATTTGGTAATGGAAATGCCATTGAAGTCAAAGGAATGTAGCTAGGTTCTTGTTGAAGCTGACCATTGCCTAGTCTTTGTCTGCTGCAAACGTTACTTAATTGCAATTGCAAACTTATTGTGTGCAAACTTAAAATGACACAAATCGTGTTGCATTTAGCTTTTGATTACTTCATTCCCTCATTTCACTTGTGATTTACATTGCCATTACTGTACATGAACCACAAGGGATTGTAGTTCCCAGTGTTGCCATGAAACCTGTAAGGACAGAAAACTGAAGAAAATAAGATTAAATAAAATTACCCTCACCTGCTGTACACATTGCTAAATTCGAGACAATGATCTTGTATTCAGGTTGCACTATTATCTGAATCTTTTGCTTATAAGGCAGTTGTAATTTTACTATCAGGTTACATCCTTGAACTAAGGTGGGACTAATAATCTGTAAGAACCTTTAACTGTGAAAATAATGTTTCTAAGATAAGATAGATAATAGAAAAAATAAGAAACATATTTGAGTTGGCTTACAACTGAGATATATCTCGCTCAAATGTATTCATTATTCGCTCCCAAAGGAATAAAGCAGATAATCTGAAACAAAAACAGAGAATGTTGGAGGAACTCAGCAGGCCTGGCAGCATCAGTAGAGAGAGAAACAGAGTTAATGATTCAAGTCCAATATGACTTCTTCGAAACTGCATAAGAATGAGGATAATTTGAGTGGCTTCTCATTGTTGTGGAAGGATATATTAGATAGATCAAGAGGTTCATAATTTATGTTCCAATATAGCAAAACACGTTGGAAACTGTCAAGTTGCCAAAAAAAAGGCAATGAAAGCCTTGCAGGCTTTTTTAAATTGGTTTAATTTGCCAATTAATGAGGGATGATTTCTCTGTGTAGTCAGAAAATCATGTTCTTTACAAATAGGTTCTGATTTAATTATGCATTGTGGAACGATTTCCCTCCAATGAATTTACAAATCATAATTGTTTGCTGGTATACTTAAGCAATGCAAGTTCAATTAGTTTGTACAGATATTATAGTCTGTTTTCTCTTCCTTCACATGTTCTTAAAAAAAATTGTTTTTCAGCTCATGCAAGGCTAATGTTTAGAGATACAGTAACTGTTGAAGATGCTATCACAGTGATCTCTGTAATGGAGTCTTCCATGCAGGTATGCACTTTTTATAAAGAGTTAAAACATTTTTATGTAGAGATGAGGATAAAAACAATCAATCATTCCATGTGATGGATGCCAAATTGAACGATTAGTGCATACCTTGCGCACAAATGACATCAACACCATATTCACTTCAGTAAATTAAAATCATTTTTTTTTTTGTCATTTTTTGTCATTTATATTTGATAAATACACTTTCATTTTGAATAAGACACATGTAAGGATAACATAAGATTGCTGGATTCTGAGCCAAAAGATTATTTCGATAGCCACACACTGTTTAGGCATGCCGATTGATTTAGATGGTGCAAGTAGATTAAACCTTACCAAGACAAGACAGATTTAAAGAATCAACGGTCCTAGTATAGTATATTATAAGCTCATTGGGGTTGGTTAACTCAGTCAGTTAGATGGGTGGAGTGTGATGCAGAATCACAGCAACATTATGGATTCAGTTAATGCTGGAAAAGCTCAATTTCTGGGTTTTTTTTGTT